AACAGAGGGGAGTGCAGCCAACCTCCATGGGAGCGACCAAGAGAGCCCTGGTACCCGCGGTGAGTGTCTTGTGCATCCAGAAGGCACTCCTGACGGCTTGAGAAATACGTGGCACCCCGCAGTTGCGGATTGTACCAGTGAAGGGGCGGCGAGGACGTCGGCAGAATTTGCGAGGCAGTGAGGATGCCCGCCGCAGGCGCTCAACTTTTACAACTTACGCAGTGGGCCCGCAGCTGGCGCCGATGGTTTCGTTAAAGCAGTGCGGGTGGGTCGCGGGCGGGTCGCCGGCGGGTCGCGGGTGGGTCGCGCGCCCGGCCGCGCGCCGGGTCGCGCGCTGGGTCGCGGGTGGGTGGCGCGCTGGGTCGCGGGTGGGTCGCGGGCGGGTCGCGGGTGGGTCGCGGGCCGGGTCGCGGGGGGGACGGCGACAACAACAATCGACAACACCAACAACAATCATTTTGAGACCGTTCGCTCTTCTCTGCTCGCGTGCCATGAGACGCACAAGTCCCAAGCCCTCGATACCCGCCCTCTTCGTCTTCGATCGTGCTTCCTTGGGGGTATATACCTCTCTTGCCTGCAACGTGTATCTCGTGCAGCCCCTGAGGCAGGGGAAGAGAGGACGGATGGAAGGAAGGGACAGGAGGGAAGGAGGAGGATGGAGCACGAGAGAGAGTAGCAGGAGGGGGGCTAGGAGCAGAAAACACGTGGCAGAACCAGACGGGCAGATCGGGCGGATAGACCCTAACGGGCGGTTTGGGAAGGCGGGCCCAGGCGACCAGGTCGAGCAGGCGGGTTGCTGAAGCGTGCGTCCAGCATGGATAGCGAGGAGGTCTCGAGCGATAGCGCCAAATATATCTTAAGCAAATCCACAGCGAAAGCGTGATTCCTGAGTGTCGAGGGCGCGGCGTTTGAATAAGTTGCGAGGAATTCCCACGCGAGAGCGCGATTCGTGCATACATTGTGAGGAAGTCCTGCGCGAGAGTGCGATCTGGGAATGAGTTGTGGGGAAGCATCAGGCGGAACCGTTGTTGTTGCTCTTGCTGCTGTTGTTGTAAATTAGGGGCCAACAACACAATTCTGTGACCCAAGGTTTTCATTGATAAAGAGCAGGGTGCGAGCCCCGGGAAGGGCACCTCAGTTTGAAAACACACAATCTGCCCCGGAGGGGGGGGATCAACAACCATTATTGTTTAGAAATGAGAGTTCAACAACAGCAGCAGCAACAACAATATCAATAAAAACAACAACTACAACAATAACAACAACAGCAGCATCAAAAACAACAATTATTTCAAGACTGACCGTTCGTCTCTACTCACGTGCCAGCCAATACGTATTTCCCAAACCCTTGGCACCCGCCCTCGTCGTCTTCGATCGTACCCCCTTGGGGGCCTTGCCTGCCACGTGCGTGTAGGGCAGCCTCTGAAACAAGGGACGAGAAGACGGGTGGAAGGGGGAGGGAGAAGACTGGAGCACGAGAGAGAGTAGCAGGAGTGGGGCAAGGAACATAACACAAATGGTAGAATCAGACAGGCAGATCGGGTGGGCAGACCCATAGCGGGCAGGTCGGGAAGGCGGGCCCAGGCGACGGTCGAGCAGGCGGGTTGCTGAAGCGTGGGTCCTGCATAGATCGCGAGGAAGTCCCGAGCGATAGTGCGATGATTCCCGAGTAAATCGCGAGAGAAGCCAAAGCGAGAGCGTGGTTCTTGAGCGCCGAGGGCGCATCGTCTGAATAAACTGCGAGGAGGTCCCACACGGGAGTGCGTTTCGTATACGAATTGTGAGAAAGTCCCGCGCGGGAGGGCGATTTGGGAATAAAGTGCGAGCAAGTATCAGGCGGCAGCCGCTGTTATTGTCAACCGGGGGCCAACAACCCACATTGATGTTTAGTGGCTTTCTTTGATAAAACAAAAAAAAAATGTGCGAACCCGGGGGAAACACTTCACTTGAACATGTTCCATGGTCACCAGAGACGGGGCGAGCGGCAATAATCATTAAGTAGTGAGAGTTCAACACCAACAAGAATACAACAACAGCAGCAACACCAACAACAACGTCAACAACCACAGCTACAACTACAACTACAACAACCACTATTTCAACTACAACTACAACAACAAGTGCAACAACAGCAGCAACAACAACACTCCTCACCGCATAACCTCACTTCAGCCATGCGCCCAGGGGGCAGTGCATGACCGTTCGGCTCCCTCACTCTGATCATGCCGCATGCCGCACATGTTTATTTCGAACGTGACAGTGGGTGTCTCGCACTACGGTGCCGTGCAGAGACTGGGGTCGTCACCGGCAGCATTTATGTTTCCGAGTTGCGACGTCAGGAACCAATGTTTGCGACACCGTCGCTGATCAGTCGACTATCCAGTTGCGCCGGCGGGGATGGTAGAAGGGCGGAGGGGAACGCGGGGGAGGGAAATGTCACGCCGTTCAGCAGCACCAGAGGACGCGAATATACTTACAGACGTTTCCGCCAGATCGACCA